GGCAATCGGATTATCAACCGCAGTTAGGCTTTGGTGATGTTTTGAAGTGGGACGCTGCTGCCCATCCCTTGCCCATTAAATTTTTAAGAGGCGACTAAAAAAACTTAATGGAATGGATAAAAACAGTATTAATAGTCAGACAATTATAATTTATTTCAAAAAACTAAACTAAGGCCGTAAAATTAAAACCAAAACCTTGGGTTATATTAATAAAAACATGTTACAAGTAAGTCGACTCCAAAATTTATTTAAATGAGGATAAGGGTAAGATGATAATGAATTTTTATTTAATCTACATTTAATTTGAGCTTTTTATTTTTTAACATATCAATCTTATAATATCTAAACAGGGTATTTACTATTATAACAAAACTAAACGTTTCCATGCTCTACTGCTTCTGATTTCATGTCGCATAATTGCGTTCTTAAGTTATTTGTTTAAGCAACTGTTGGGCGTAAATTATTTCAATTAATAAGTACCATGTAAATAAATAGCTTGTATAAATATGTGTTACTATGATGTTAGATTAATTATGTCCTTACTAAGGAATGCTTGTTAAACAGTTTGAACAATATTTTTTTTTGTGTTATTCCTCAATTTTGTTAGTTTATCAGTTCCCTAGTCTTTTTGTTGTAAAAAATTTAAATGTTAGTTGGAGTAGAAATTACCCCAACTAATATTTAATTTTAGTTTCCTAAACGTCACCTAACTTAAACCTAGCTTTGATTACTTTTTCCGTTCCGTTTTTCCCCTTAAAATTTTTATCCTATGATTTTTGGGAGTTAACTATTTTAACCCCTTCTTCAACAAAACTTGGATAATGTTTCCTTTCTTCCGAAAAAGGGGATACACTTTTTTATATCGAAATAAACTAGACAGAAACTTCATACAAAAGTCGGCTGCGTATATAAGTGAAATAACAACGGGTGAAACGTCACAGTATATTCGTAACTATACAACGGTTTTCACTTTCAATCAGATGTGATTTCTCTACTTATTTATTGTTCTAAATTGCAAAAAAAAAAGAGGACTCAAAAGAAAGATGACCTGGACATAGAAGGCGAAAGAAGAGCATTGGCAGTTAGAAGTAACATGTTGGCCCGCAGGTTTACTAGATGTACAAAACAAGTAAAAATAACCCTGTTAAAAGCATTTTGTCAGGTGTTCTACACGAGTAGCTTGTGGATCAACTATAGTCAAAAAACTTACAATGCTCTTCGAATCTAAAAAAAAAAGAATGTCCTGTAAAAATCGACTATTTACAGTTACAGTGCCCGTCGCCCGTATTACATAGCGAGGACGGGATACCTAGTTCGGCTAAGTGTACAAAACAAGAAAAAAAAATATGTTACGATACATATCTAATCTTATTTTTCTAATATAATAAAATTGTAACTAAGTGATGTCTGTACATGTAAAATCATCATATCAGCCTTTAACTGTCCACTGTTAAACATAAGCCTCCTCCTCTCGGTGGTCTTGCCAGTAGTTGCCACGCTTGGCAGGCGGATTGGCAACCGCAGTTAAGTTTTAGATATAGTTTAAGAGGGACCCTGCTACCCATCCCTCGACTTCGCTTAGTCGCCTCTTACGACACCCACGGGAAAGGAATTGGTGGCTTATTCTATACCGGGACCACACAGCAACATGAAAGGTATTTACAAAAACATGTTTTTAATATTATTTATTTATTTCTTATTAATACCAGCAATAGAAGCCAAAACAATATTTATTTAGAAATTTTGTCTGTCTGTTCGTCTGTATATCTGTTTCGGCATCATACAAAAACTACTACACCAATTTAAATGCAGTTTTCACAGTTGCGTCTCTAAAGGTGTAGCTTTAAAATTGGTGTATGTTTTCTTTCAATACGTCATCTAGAAGTGATTTTGTTTTTATTGGGTTTCTTTTTTCTAAAATCGCGTACGTAGTAGCGAGCAAATAGCTGGCCAGTATTCAAAAACATTTTTCTTAAATAATCACCATTAACTTTTTTTACTTCCAAATTCTTGTAAAAGGAACAAAGCATAATTAGCTCAACTCTGTCATAAAATGGAAATTAGATGCATAGAAAAATGAGAAATACATTCAGGCGAGTTTAAATCTTACCAAATGTAATTATTTACGTACCTATATTTTTTTTTATATATAACTTATAATGGCAAAAAAGCTGACGGCCCACCTGATGGAAAGTGGTAACTGTCGCCTATAGACATAAGCAGTACTATGGACATAACAGAGTATACTGTTTCGCCCATGATACCCTCCATGCGTTGCCATTCCTGAGGACTCAGGTGTTATTCCACTGTACCCTGTAAATTCAGGCCATATCCGACCCTTCAAACCGAAACACAGCCATGCAAATAACTGCTTCACGGTAGAAACACAAATGTTACAGAGGTACCCAAGGAATCGACTTTTGTATAAAGCTACTAAGCATTAAAAAAATATTCAAATACTAGTTTTTACGTGCGACTTCGTCCGCATGACAAGGATTATGCTGATTTCCCGGGATAAAAACTAAGCCTGTCATTCTCCATCCTAAGTAATATGTGTATACCGTAGGTGTATATTCTGTGACGATTGGTTAAGTTGTTAAAGGGAAAAAAAACAAACAAACATACTCACTTTCACATTTATAATATAGTACTCATAATGCTACCATAATTTTCTATAACTAATAATTTAAATTCTGTGTGCACTGTTTTAATAATTCTATGTTTTAAGTATTCTTATGTTATTACTTGTATGTTTTTTTTTTTTTATTGTTTTGTTCGTGTCAGTTTTGTTAATATGTAATCGATGACTCGAGAAAATGTTGTGTACATCTGTAATTGGTGTAAATGCAAGATGCAAACCCTATATATCAATTAAAATTAATGTCTGTATTTAAATTGTTGATGTACCTTTTAAAATAAAAAAAAATCTTGTCCAGTATCTATTTATTTTTCATCATCATTATATCAGCCTTTAACTGTCCACCGCTGAACATAGGCTTACCGCTTGAGAGGGTTTTGCCAGTAGTTGCCACGTTTGGCAACCGCAGTTAGGCTTTGGTGGTGTATTAAGAACGATGCTGGTGCCCATCCCTTGACCATTAAATTCCCTTGATCGCCTTTTACGACACCCACGGGAAAGGAACGAGTGGTCCATTTTACTCGTATGCCACAACCACATAATTAGTTTTAATGTTTTTTTTTATATATAATTTTTCAAATTGACTCTTTTGGTATTTACATTGGTCCCAAATGGGAACATGTATGTCTTTATTTGTTCTGATTTGATAAATATACGTGAATAACGAAGGGAAATGCCGAATCGAGCGTGGAATCGAAAGTGAAATAAAAATGAAAACGGGCAAATTGAATTCTCTGGCTCTAATGCGAAACAAGAGGGTAGTGGGTAGGGGACACAATATTTCCCTCGTATATAAATTCGTTATGAGGCCTCTATATTACAGGGATAGCGTTGCTTCTGCCTGACAAGTTTTGTGGTTGTCAATGGAGGACTTTCTAAATTTGTATTTATTTTTGCCCAACTTCTGAAGAAAGGATATTTTTTGTATGCAACTTAGAATGGCAATCAATTTGACGGCCCACCTGATGGAAAGTGGTAAACGTCGCCTATAGACATGAACAGTACCATAGACAACAAAGTATACTGTTTCGCCTATGATACCTCCTCTCCATGCGTTGCCACTCCTGAGGACTCAGGTGATATTCCTCTGTACCCTGTAAATTCACTGCCATATACTACCCTTCAAACCGAAACACAGCTATACAAACACAACTGCTTCACGGTAGAAAGACGAATGGGACAGAGGTGCTCAAGTATACGACTTTTGTACAAAGTCTCTCTCTAGTATGTATGTATGTTTCGATTTTACACGTAATTTATATTCTTCTTATTATTTATTATGTACTTCATTCTCGGCTAATTTGCCGGTTTTCTCAGACAACCCGTCCCAAAAACCTTCGGAAAAAAGAAAGCTGAGACCCAAACCTCTTTTATTGCATTTGTGTGTATGCAAATATGCATACACATATATATTACTACATATACATTATTTTTATGCTTCATAGCTCTATACGTGTGTGTGCGTGTCTGTAGCGGTGTGATGTGGTGCATCTTGTGAGTTTAGTGTAATTATTGTATTTCCTAGTACTTTACATGTTATGGTCGAGGAGTGCATGGCTGCTTGTTTTTATTATTTATATTATTAACTAGCAAATAATAACTTTTTTACGATTTGTCACTGATGATATTACTGTGAATAAAAATAACAGTTTCACTAAGTGATAATGAATTAAATGTAGCGGTAATTTTCATGCCTAATTTTTAGGGATCAAAATATACTTGTGTTAAAGTTGTTACTTTGACTCGAAGTGTAACTAAATGCTCCGTTTAGTTATCTGTTCATTGATTTGAATGTAAGAGATAGTTGATATTATTCTTGCGACTGACTTCCTATTTGTTTTATGTTACTGTGCTAGTTGGTTAGTAGAATAGTGTTGCAGCTTCGCATATCCTTAGTTGGAAACTACGAACTTTAACTTATGTAATTTAAAGTTAATCTGAAACTTATATAGTTACAGTTTCTGAAACAATGAAAACGCATACAGAGTTGTTACAGGAACACTATCCATAACAATAATGCTTTTCGTAAATAAAATCGGCAACTTGTTCAATTATCAACAGATTTAAGAAATATTTTTAGCCTTTTCCATAAGGGGAGTTTTGCCAGTAGTTGCCATGCTTGGCAGGCAGTTCGACAACCATAGTTAGGCTTTTAGAGATGTTTTGAAGATTTTAAGTTTTCGGAGATAAAAGGAACGCTGCTGCCCATCGCTTGCCCTCCTTAGTCGCCTCTTACGACAGCCCACTGGAAAGGAAGGGGTGGCCCATTCTATGTCAAGGCACAGACACACATTCTCTTAATAGCTATAGATAAAAATGTTAATATATGTAAATGAAACAAATGATAATAAAACCCAGAAAATTTCGTAACATAGTTTATTGAAAATAATAAACTTCCTTTGTCTTACAATGAAAAATATTTAATTTTTAGCGTAAACTACTTAATAATGTACACATAATTTTTACAATTATACTCGTAATGTTGTTTGGGCAACATTTCGGTAAAGCCGGTTACAATATATAATTTACTAATATTACTTCATTTATTTATGAGCCAAGCATAGCAGATCTATTAAACGTTGACAATCCATAAATATTATTCATTTTTATGCAAAAACGGTGCACAACCCTGATGCGTAGGGTCCGGGCCAACTCTAATACTATCCTAAGGAAGGAAAACCCGATGTAAACCATTAGCATTGGGATTTGAAAATACCCTTATATATTTAAAAATAAAAACTATTTTAAGAATATTTGCTGACCATCTAGACTCATTCTAGTATTTCATTCATTCTAGTACGATACATATGCTGGCTAATTTACAAAAAAAAGTGTATATATTTATTTATTTTTAACCATAACTTTTAAGTCGATTGGTATACATATATGCCTGTAATTACGAATAAACTGTCAGTTTATCTCATATTGGGTTTACTGGTAGAAATCTCTTTTAGCCATAAGCTGGCCCTAGTGCACTATTATGTTTAATTATTATTCTGATACCATATTTTTTGTGTACAATAAAGAATAAAAATAAAAGTAGGTTAGGTAGATAATCATAATAATAATAATGTGTATAAAAATAATGTGGGTCCTGGTAATTTTAATAAAGAATTTATTGCAATTTTGAATAAACTAAAAATGGAATAAATTTTTTTCAACAATTTAATGAAAAGGTAACTAAGTTTTGTTGAAATTATTATATTAATATTTAAAGAGTTAAATTGATTAACAAATGAAATAGTTAATTAATTAGTTTTGATTTATACTACTATATAAATTGAAAAGTATCATGTATCGTCCTTTAATTTATGATCGGATCGTCAACGTATAACTTGTCGTACTGAAATTTCTTATTACATTATATCTTCTACTTTCAGGCTACAAGCCTATAAAATCTTTCCAAAAAAATTTGTTCTTACACGACCTAGTAATTATGGGTTCACATTAGGCTGGAATTTTTATTTTATTGTACAAAAAAGAAATATTTATATTGATATATCTGCATTACATTAGTTTCATTCAATTTATTTTTTGTAATTGTAATAAAATAAATAATTAGAAAACTTCAATCACTTTAGATTTGTAAAAAAAAAAAACTATTTACTATTTAGTTAAAATCGAGCCTACTGTGAACCTATTTGCAGATTACTAACCAACCAAGAATGAAAGATGTCGTTTATAACATAATTAATTATTCTCTTTATATATTTTATCAAACCATCCCAATTTGGTTGGTTAATATTTATAAGATACTGCACATTCCATTTCTAACTTCACGAAGCTAAATATAAAGCATAACCTCCCTGATTACATCTATATTTATATATCTTAATTATTCTTACAATTTATTGGCACTTTATACGTTACGAGTAACTAATCAATTTGTTACAATCTTATTTACAAGCGTACGGAGTTATTTATAAGTCTAATAATCACATCTTATATATATAAATATAAATTACGTTTCATTTAATAGAGGTGAGTAATATTAATGTAGGTATTAAGTATTGAATGTATTGGACTTTAAATTATATACAAATACAGTTTAAGTAACATAAATATAATTGAAAATATTTCATTGCGTCTTCTCTCTCACACATTAAGCAGAGCTTGTATTAAGACAAATGATACAGGTCTCAAAGATATTTTCTATTTTTAAGTAATTTTTTTAAGGTTTTATTTTTGATACTTATAGTGTATAAAAGGTGTGTATATAATAAATAGATTATAATTTGAATATATATATATATTTAATATATATATATATATATATATATAATTTTGTTTCTAATTAATACTTAAATATATATAAATGCAAATTCATACAAATTATATGGAAAAAATACTAGGGTTGGGTTATATATAGTAATATCTATATATTGTTGTTACAGTATCTATATATTCGCCCTATATCTAATAGATATATCGTATCTATATATAACAGATACATATTAAATGGCGATTATGCAATATATAATATCAAACTGAAGAATCCTGTCGAAAATAATATAGAAATGATATAGACTGGTATGGGTGATATCGAAAAAAATAAAGAACTCTTTTCCACCGTCAATATCCAGAAAAACCCAATATATAAATGTCGCACTGATATCGATATTACCCATGCCTAGAAAATACTCAGATCATTACCGGTATAAATATTTATGTTGTGCAGGGATTGAACCTACGACCATCTGGAGGTACATAATGTGTTTTATCACTATGGCGACAAGATCGTAATATTTTAAGGTAACTGTCTATAATATCGACAGTTCAGTATTAAACCAGTTTTAGAGATTTGAATCTTATAATGTAAGTACTAAGTACCTATTTATCTACTATTAATTAAAAATGTGCACCGGTTTACCTTAAATATATTGTTACCCATAGGGCGCTTCTGTATTTCACCGTTGCATGTCACGATATCATACTGATTTACCGTCACGATAATGGTTGTACAAAATGTACGCAACGTCATCCACGATATTGGCGCAAAGTTACAAATACATCTCGGTATATTATTATTGAATACATTTCCTGTCATATTATATCGTGACGGTAAATATTATAGTATTGTATCTTTTATAATTTACTGTAGAATAATATACCCCATTACGGTAAATTATAAAAGCCCGCGTAATTTATGGTATAAAATATCTACATTAATATGGTACGCCCCTCCAACATTTTACTTCAATTTTTGGGACCGTATACAGACGCGGTGCTCTGTTTACGTTTGTGTGGAAACATCTTCAGTAGTGGAGCGGGGAGCAAGTCGGTTGCCAGAGAAATTTTATTTATATTCCTTGATAGAAACCTTGTAAATATTTTTACTCACACATTTTGAATTGTTTAGATTTTGGAGGGCGTGCCATGTTATCGTTGACAATTTAAACCTACTACAAAGTCTGCAGCCACATTTTAATATTACAACCGATTTTATCTAATTATATATAAATAATATTGTTATAGTACTTTAAAACGTTTTGTTTTTTGACTGACACTAAAAGAAAATGCAGCAGTATTCAGAATAAATTGCGTAAATTTATATTGAAAATATCATTATCTCATTAAAAAAATGCAATATTAATAAAATATGTTTTAATGTCACATAAATAGGTATTAAAGCGCCACTATAAGTGTGGATACGAATATTATAATTCTATTTTGGTTGCTCTATATCTAAACGAGGATACAAGGCACTGCCTTATACCTAAATAATATAGGTACTTACTTACAAATCTATTAGTATATTATCCAAAATGCCAACAAAAGACCCATCTTGTCCCCTCGAATAAAGTAGCCTTTTTTATTCCCTCTGGTCCCTCCTCAAATAGAAACGTAACGAATAATCAAATTTAATGTACTTTTGTGGTACGCGACTGTCACTCAGAATCTACTATAGTCTTATTTATATGTATAGGTGAATATATTTATTGCCAAAAGAAATTTTCATTAAAAGTAAGTATACAATTAATACCCACATATTTTAGGGGACTTTTGGACGTTATTATAATTTACCGTAATATAGCTTAATATCATTACGTTATTTTATTAATAATAAGAAGACACTTTTAAATTTCCGCACATGTTCACGATATACTCGTAGAGACTAAAAATTAAAAGTGTTATATTTGCCAACATTTTAATCTCCTATTAGATATTGTTTACGACGATAAATTGTATGATATCGTGTCTCACTACGGTAAATTATAAACACCCAGGACACTCTAACAAAATTGAGGGGATTGAACATTGACTAAAAATTAATATTTTTTATATATATAATAAAATTGGATGCGATAAAAAATTAAAAGTACCTTTTAATTTTTAAATTACAGTTCGTTTTTATTTAGTATCAAATTGCATATTTTTACATAAGTAAAAATACGGCAATAACAAAATATTCCTCGCGTCAATCATAAAATTACATTTATACATTATATTTAATATTTCGAACTATCAATTTATAGGTAGACGTTAATTTTTACTTAATCATTATCGAATACTAATAATTGCTCAAGCTCATCTTCAGAATATAAGACAATTCCAAAGCATCTTGTATAATGTAATATTAAAAAAGTAATCTCACTGCATGGCCTCAATATCTCACAAACGACCACGTATTTCTACACGAACACTAAACTATATATTTTATTGCACCATAAAAGTCTGCAGCACTACTGCAGAATTGCTATAGAGGGGTCTCGTCACCTGAATCGCTGCGGGGTAATCTTACCACCTTAGCTTCTGACAACACCCCGACACCTTCTAAACATGATCTTCTGTTTGCAAGCACATCTCTTAGGAAGGCCCTTCTAGATCCTGCTATATCGGTTCCAGTTATAGATCTGGTGAGCTTTCTCAAGGCTGGAAGTCTCAAGGCTTCTTCATATGATGGTGGCTCATCTGTAGGTGTAGTTTGTGCACGACCACCAAAAGGATCTCTAGAACATGTAGGGGACAATTCCCTGGAATAATACAGAGTACCTTCCCCTTCTCTTCTAGCTTGGGATTCTGGCATAGGTTGGTAATTCACTGGATTGGACGTTCTGATGTCTTCAATAATTTGTCTAGCACTTCTAGCTGTCGTAAGTACTCCCGCCCAAGATCGTCTATTTTGCTGTTTTGCTTCGTTACATCTAGCAGTTGTTGCAATGCTATTACTCGAGTGTGTGCTTGCTATAGTAACCCTATGTCTTCGTGGAGGTTCATCAAAAGAGGCAGCTTTCATGGTCGGTCGATTTGGTCTATTTTGCGGTTCGATATCTATTAATACACCGTTGTTAGAAGTGCTATTTTCAGGTGGTTCCTCTCTCAAAGCGGCGTCAATCCGCATTGCTTCAGAATAAGATGGTACTAAGGCACAGTTGCCTCTTATGGCAGCAAATAGTTCGAGGCTATCTACAGTAGACGCATGTGATAGAGGGAGGGTTCTGGATGGACGGGGAGCTGAACAGAGGACGGCACTTTGCTCGTCGGCGAGAGCCCATGCGTAGTTGGTGGCTGTCACCGGTGGTAACGTATCTGATAGATGTGTGTCAAGATCTAGCTGTCTACTGGGATCTAACTCGTAGTTTGTACCAAATATTTTTGTTATCTGTAACAATAATTTTTTTTTACTCGCCGATAATTTAAAAACAAACAGAAACTTCGTGGCGTAGGAGGTTTTAATTGGATTTCTCTTGTGTGCTTATTACAAAGATCGAACAAATTATTTTAGTCTGAGATTTAATAGTATACGAAAAATGAATTACAGAATGAAGGTCAAACAACATTGCGTAAGTTTATCCTTTAAATAATTATTTGGTATATCTTCTTAACAAATTAGTCCTGAAGAATACCACTATACGACGTGGTTTCATGGGCGACATAGTTCATTCTGTTATGTCTATGATATTCATATGTGTAGGCGACGGTTACTTTCCATCAGATGAGTTTTTAACTTTTTCATCACTTACAGTTGCTTATAAAATGTATTTTAAAAATTTAGACTAATTGTGAGTTATACTTACTGTATAATGTACATAAGCTGTATTGCACTCTATGAGGATTCGTAGAGGCCAAGAGAGTAAAAGGCAGGATAGCGTCCAGAAGAGCAATTGTGAGGAATACCAGGGACACCGATCGGCTTCCCTGAAACAAAATATTAGGTGAACAAAGGTAATTTCTACGCAAGTAAGCAATGTTTTAAAATTTCATAACTGTGGAATTATGAAGATCTTGCAAATGTTATACCTGTAAGCCACCATATATTCTTTGAAAGAACTGACTCCAATTAAATCAAGTCCTTCTCGCATTTCCATGAAATCATCAAACCGTTCATGTTCAGCAAAGAACCTCGATCTTTGGTCTTCAAATTCTGAAATATGTTACTCTTATTAAAAAATACTGTTAAATTAAAAAGATAATTTTGTGACACTAAAATTGTCACGTCAATAATATTTGTGTTATGAATAATCGTCTATTTTCCATTCATGACTATATATCAACTATTTGATCGAAGCTGAGGCTAGTCTAAATATAAGAATTCAATTTCATTCACTGTATTCGGGAATCTTAAAATGGCAAACATAATAACGTTCGAAAAACGTTCTGTAAGGCAATGTGAGAGGGAAAATACTTAACCAAAATAGAAATGAATGATAATTTGATGTTTGTTATTTTTTTTTTTTATTTTAACTGCATTTAAACAGCTGAATGGATTTGATTTAAAATTATTATATAAATAGATTATACTCAAGATTGACATTTGTTTCGGATTTCAGAGCATATAGTAAGCTCATTTAAACCCATCAAGAAAGAATAAACCTAAATATTTTTTTTGCAATTGGCCAAATTTCTAAATTTAAAGCAGATTTGTGTTTCTTTATATTCCTATAAAAATACTATCTTTATTGCGTAGAATAAATCTATACTTATATTATAAAGAGGAAAGACTTATATTTTTGTATGTTTATAATGAATAAACTCATTATACGACTGATCCAATTTCAAAAATTCTTTCACCATTATATTACTCAGGGATAATGAAGGATATATTTAGTATTAGTGTCCACCTGTACGAAGCAAGAATGGCTCGTAAGTACTATATAAACTAATAATTGTGTATTTATATTTTAAATAGATTTTTGCATATATACCCCCACAGTTTGAAGCCAGAAATATAATACTTTTATTCTAATTTATGTACAATTAGATAATTTTTAATGTATTTTTATCACTCACCACTGGCAGCTTCGATGTTTGCGAAAGCGAAACCTTTACTGAAACGGACTTTAGTGATTGGTGTTTTTATGTCGAGGACCAAGTTCCTGGAGGCATCGCGTTGCCCGCAACACGCGTGCGCGAACGATGTACTCGCGCTGTGCGTGTTCACTCGTTCGTAGTATACCTATTGAAATTTATTATTAATAATTGTTTATTATAATTATTTATTAATTAAAACGTACTAATATTATGATGTCTTATGGAACCGAAACATGGTCCTATACGATTGCTTGTATGTAATATCTTTAAGTTACTCAGCGTGCTATGGAGTGGGCTACGCTCGGAGTCTCTTTGCGCGATAGAATCCAAAACGAAATATCCGCAAAAGAACCAAAATAACCGTCATAGCCCGATATATAGCGACTTTGCAAGCTGAAGTGGCAATGGGCTAGTCACATAGCTCGAAAAACTGACAACCGATGGGGAAGAAAGGTTATTGAGTGGCGACCGCGTACGGGTAAACGTAGTGTAGGACGACCCCCCCACTAGATGGAGTGACGTCATGAAATGCAGGGAGTCAGTGGATGCAGGTGGCTTAGGACCGTTCTTTATGACAGTCTATGGGGGAGGCTTGCGGTACTGCGGCCTTTTTTCCTGATTGTGACAAAATCTATAAACACTTTTTGGTTACAGCCTAGTTGGATCATATGCTTGTTAATTTGCAGTGTCCAGTAAGAGCCCTTTTTAATAAATCCTCCTATCATAGTATAGGTATATAGGTAGGCTGATAATTTTTATGGCGGCAGTGTTTTGTTTACATACCGTTGTATGTACAAACACTCGTATGTAAATACAAACACGTTATTTTTCCAGCAAAACTCTAAAACGTTATATAAGTTATACGTAGTGCAAAAAATTGCGCGAAAATTTATATAACTTTTTATCTACAACTCGTCCGCGTGACCGAGTTATTTTGATATTACCATATGACCTCCTTCAAATCAAATACTACATATATATGACATTTCATAACAGTGAACAAATTCGCATATTTAACTTACTTTAAATTTTCCAAATTAAAATATACAAAAAATTCATTACGCCACATATCTTTATCTGTTTTTCTATAATTAATAAACAATCTCCGTCTCTTCTTTATTCTGATGTTAAAAATAAAAATACAGTGAGAATAAATGCCATTATTTATTTTAAATTCAAAAGTTTGTAGGGATGGATTTTGCGTGAGAGTGACAATTTCACGCATAAACTACCTAACAGATTTGAGTGAAATTTAGTACATGGGCAGGTTATATCCTAACTTAGTACATAGGATATTTTATGTATTCATTCACATGATCAAAGCCGCGGGATACAGCTAGTTTATAATAAAAATACCCTATTTTTATAAATGTTATTTTAATAATTAAACATACCAAGATTTACTCATTTGATAATTAAACATGTTCAGAATTACTCATTTAATATTTAAACATGTCAATATTTACTCATTTATTAATTAAACATATCTAGATTTACTTATACTAATAACATACCAATACATGGTAAACATGGAAAAACAGATTATAGGTACCAAGCTGTGATTCGATTATCACATACCTGCGTTGTAGTATACGCGTCACCGTTCCGATATCGCGTGACTTGCCGTTTTCGTCTCACGTAATGGTAGCATATTGCTTTCCACCTGCGCAAAAACATAACTATCAGTAGTGCTATATATCATATCTTATACTATTATAATAAAATTGTAACTGAAAAACGTGTGTATATGAAAAATATTAAAAAAAAATTGATATAAGGGTTCTTAATTATGAGCAATAGAAGCCAAATCAATATTATTTAGAAATTTTGTCTGTTCGCCTGTTTGTTTTGGTAACATGAAATACTATTACACCAAATTGGATGCGATTTTTATAATTGGGCTTCTGAAGGTCTAATTTAAAATCTTAATTCGCTAACTAAAAGTGATTTATTTCATTGATTTTCTTTCTTGCTTTTTAAATCCACACGTACGAAGGAGTAGGCAAAAGCTAGTATATAATACTCGTGTACATATTAAGAATAAAATATTTTGGAGAGCTAAACCGTTATTAAAATTTTAAGACGTAGCAATAAGTATATGAGTAATAAAAACCACGAATATACCTTCCTTATATGTACTAAACTTATTAACTTAGGAATAAAGCTAATTTTACATATGTAAAAGTTTTACAGATCGCATTTATATTTTATATTGAACTGTGCCATGTAGGTACATAGAATTATCTTAACATAAATATAAATTAGATAAAAACGAATATGTGCTTAATTTGAGTTTCTTTCTGCATGTTTTATGGACGAAAATTGATTAATTTCTAAATTAATTTAAAAATTATTTATTTACTAATGTTTCTTCTAAACCATTCGTTTATTCATTCATTCATAATTGATGTTCAATTAAAATACAAATACTGTTATAATGAAGAGTACGTCATTTCAAATATCAAGAATTACTACCTTTGAAAAATTCTGTTCCAACACTCTATTACCATTCATCTCCGCAACATTCCTTTATGAAACCTAATTATTATGCCATTCATTAAAAAAGACTTCATTCTCTCTTTGCTGTATGTTCTTACATAAATATGACATTTACATCATTTTTCACGATATTTTTTATATAGGCACTAACTATACTGCTTACTTAAAATACAAGCAACTTACCTAAATCTTTGTGTAATTGTCGACATAGAATTAATTTTAGTATTAACTTATGTGACATTTACTCTGATAGGTACTATGGTAACATTCATCAAGTACTCAAAATGTATCTGCAGGTCTATGCGCTGCTTATAAACTTCATAAAGAGATTCTTATCTTAGAATACAAATAACTTATGAAGCTGTCGTCGTATCTGTCCTCATAGAATAAACTCTGGTGTTGACAGTGTCGTCATCTACTATTCTAGTCAATTTAATTCTAACGGCCCTGTTGTAATATTCTATCAGGTTAACGAATCCAATGACTACATCTATTGAACTTGCTAAAAAGACTAACTTAGAATACAAGCAACTTACCTAAGTAGTCTTCACAGAATACGCTGTCTCTATTGAATTTACTAAAGAGATTCTTATTTAAGAATACGTGTAGAAGTAACTTACCAAACTCTCGGCGTAGCTGTCCTCATAGAATGAACTCTGGCGTTGACGGCGGCGACATCTACCCTTCTTGCCAGCTGAATCCTGGCCGTGCTGTGGTAACATTCCACCAGGTACACCAAGTAGAGAAGCAGGACAAATGCGATGGGTATATACGCATAGCCGACGTCACACGGTGATTCGCGAACTGTCCTCTTGATCGGGTTCCTGAGGTAGACGAAACTGTTTTAGATGTTAATAGAATTGTTTACTACTATCTAATTGCCGTGGCTTTGGCCGCATGAATCAATAAATAATGTATCCTATGTGTTAAATTAGAATATAACCTACCCATGCACCAAATTTATTTATATATTTGGCTGTTTAAGCATGATTGAGTAATAAATATCTAAATAATCATGCTACTAACATTAAGTCCGCCTTTTGTACCATATTTTCTTTTGCTTAATAAAGTTATTTAAATATATAAATAAAAAAAAAAACTTTCACATTTCACATAAATAATAATTGAGTCCTATCATATTCGAAATTAATTCAACAAATGAGGAAAGCTGATACGATTACTTGAATAACAAATGTGCATGGTGTTAGTCGATCATGCACGAACTTTTAATGACCATGTAATTTTAGACATAGTACATTTAAATAAATACACATAAAATTAACAAAGATTTAAAAAAGTAACTGTTGAGTTTCTTGCGAGCTCTTCTCAATAGATAACAACCTTTTAAACCTCGTAGTAGATTAAAAAAATAACGATTTAAATGTGCTTGCATGTCCATTTGAATAAAGATGGTTTAAATTTAATAAAAATAATTAATTGTAAGTAAATATTGCTCACGATTTTTAGTTATTTTAGAGATTGATCAGAATCGAATATCAATCTATTAAGATTCGACTCTTATTAGAAATGGCTGGAGAGATTATTTGATACTCCAGGTCTAGGAGTTTAATATTTTTTAGCTAAATTAAAAACAGTGGTTTCTGCTGATTTTTATTTAATTGTTTTAAAAAAGAAAAATAGCAATTCGTCTGAGTCATATTTTGTGGTTATGTTACGCGATTATGTCGTCAATTCTTGACCGAAGAAAACCCGATATAAAATCATATACCAAGCTGTTCTGCCAGCGTGGTAATAATAGGTTAATATTACAATCTCCAATGTTGACGAACCCGCATCCAATGAAACGTTAATGAGAAATCATATAATATTCCATTTAAATCAATTCCCACCTTTGATCCATGATTAATATTGAATAACTTTGGGATCTAATATAATATAAAAACGGATTTTTTTATTGTATTTGTATTAACTATATTTATAATTTTACGTATTAATATTTAACTTAATAAGTTTACTTTAGGTCAATTTATATAGTTTTTTAATAAATTTTTATTTGAATATTGACCAAAAAATTTATTAACCCTTGCTAATATTATAAATCTGAAAGCGTGTTTTTTATTTCTATCTCTTAGCGAATTAGTGAAATTTAATATATACGTACTATATACTATATATGTGTTATAATTTGTGTGCTGTAAGTAATGCAAATAAATTATATATCTATCTATCTATCTATATATATAAAAAAGAGCAAAGACTGTTTTTTATCCCGGACAATGGATATATCCCAGTCGCGCATACGAAATCTCGAATAATAGGTAAAAAGAAATAGTACATTTATTTCATCAATCCCATAGTAGGTATCCTACTCACACTTAGCTCAAGTTCAGAATCATCCGCAGTATTTCAGTTCAAGTCCGTACCAAACTTTACAACAATCCCTCGAGATTAGCTGGAATTCCTTCCTTAAATTGTCACGAACACTCCAACAAACTCTGTACCTTTCAAGTTTCCGGGACCAGCGGTTTGAACCATTATGTCAGTATGTCAGTCAGTTTGCTCTATTGTATATAGATACAAACAATATATTGATCCATTTTGATGATATTGTTTTATTGTTATAGAAGTGTTTAATACGAACAAGATTTTTTTATAGCAGAAAAGTGGCAAACAAGCATATAGCCTGACTGATAATAAACGGTTACTGTAGCCTATGGACACCTGCAACACTAGGGATGTCACGTGCGCGTTACCCCCTCTGAAGAAACCTTATACCCATTTTGAAGGAAAAGGAATTTTATAAGAATGGAAACTCTTTCGTTTCTATTATAAACTACTAATGACCAGCCCCGGGTTTGCACGGCTAGTAGTCCATGCTTACATTTTTTGCTTCAGTTTGTTGCGTCGAGTATAATTAGATGGGTATGTTAAGCTATCCTTAAAAGATAGACATATGCTATCGCAAATTTTTTTGTAGACCTATAAAAGAGAAACAATTCCACCATACATTGTTTTCTAGCTCAAATGCATTAGGCAGCGTTTTCGGTAAAAGCTCTCAATTAACTTGTATTCTTTCAATATCATGAACAATTATTATCATATTTCAAGAAATTAATACAAAACAATATTAAATTATAGCCGTGTGGTCCCGGCATAGAATAGGTCACCCCTTCCGATCTCATGGGTGCCATAAGAGGTGACTTAGGGAGAGCGAGGTATGGGCAGCAGTGTCTCTCTTAAATAATCGCCAAAGACTAACTGCGGTTGCCAATCTCAATTAAACATGGTAACTATTGGCAAAACTCCCCTTACTCCCCCATAAGGGGAGGTCTATTTTCAACAGTGGACGGTTAACGGTTGATATTATGATTATGTTAAAATATGTATAAAAATGGAACAGAACCTTTGTGGGCCACATATTGATTCACAAAAGTCTCTATCAACCTAAATGTATTATGAAATATTGAATAATAAATTCGACTGCAGTGACCAACAACCGACGGGACATTGACAATAATTGGTATCTCGCAACAGATTAGCTTAATCCAAATGAAATTACGGTCCGATACCGGTATCAATCCATTTGCAGGGATATTTTTGGCTGATTCGTGACTGATTTATTGGAAACGACAGTTTTTGACTTTAACGCTAATGGTATTCATGAAGTATAATGGTAACATATTACGTATCTATTCCTTGTTTAGCTAATAAATCCATACTATAATTTAATAAGTACCGATTTAACTTACGTGTAATTAGATTGAAAAAACTATATATTATAAAGAGGTAAAGTTTATGAGTTTCGATGTTCGGGGTAATCTCCGGTACTACTGCCAAATTTTGAAAATCCATTCGCTATTAGAATGGTATATTATCTCTGATTACTATACACTACTTTTTAATTTGATTAATATGTATTTTTTAATAATTAATCACAATAAATGTAATTGAAGTCAATAACAATTCTAGTATATGGTGTGGTTTGAAATAAAGTAATAAAATCTATAGCAAAATGTTAATTATTTTTAGCTTTACAAAAAAGTCTGCGTAGGTATATGGTGTCATACCTACATTTAATATCTCAACAAAAAAAGGTTTTAATGGTAAAAGTAAAATAAATCTTACAAGCCGTTCATTTTGAAATCTTAGAGAATACCAGTGCAGTACTTTCACACACGCCAAAATACCAGCCTCACTAAAATGTGTTGAACAGTTTAAAAGTTACGCAAACAAATATTGCACTCGTACGAAGCCGGGGCGCGTCGCTAGTAAGTAGTAAAGTCATAAATAATAATAATATACAAAGTATAAGAAAAGTAGTCCTTTATACTGTAATTAAATATTTTTTTTTGACGGATTTCAAAAAAGAGATGCCCCAAATTAGACGGTTATCTCATTCGATATCATCGCCAAATATAAACCAATTATTTTATTTATTTAATTTATTTCTATCTGAAAAAAGAATTAATAACAAAATTTTGTTGAAATAAATGTTGATTACAATTGAATCCAACTCCAACAGAAATTGAAATATTATTTATTTAGTCTTTGAGGCTCAAAATGTTTGTTATTTATTGATTTGTATTCCTCTGGGAAAAATAGTCAATTTGGCTATACAAATATTCTCTCAAATATAATATGTCTGTTTGTTAGGACATCTTTTTTTTTTTTATACAACTTAGAATGGCAAACAAGCTGACGGCCCACCTGACGGAAAGTGGTAACCGTCGCCTATAGACATGAGCAGTACCATGGACATAACAGAGTATACTGTTTCGCCCATGATATCCCCCGTGCGTTGCCATTCCTGAGGACTCAGGTGTTATTCCTCTGTACTCAGTAAATTCACGTCATATACCACCCTTCAAACCGAAACACAGCCATGCAAACACATCAGGTAAAAATACTAAATAAAATTGAATGTGGATTCCACAGTTTTATTTCTTAAGGTCTAACCTAAAATTTAGTCTATGTGAAAATCTTGATACATTATCTAGAAGCTATTTAATTTAAAGCTATTTAATTGGTTATCCTATTTCTAAAATCCACACGAACAAGGAGCGAGCAAAAAGTAAGTGAATGGTAAAATAACTAAATTCTCAATTAATCAGTCTATCTATCGATCAAACAATCATTTATGTAGAGCGCTAGTGAGTAAAGTCGGATTTCACAAATCCTCGTATCTAACCCCATAAAGCTTTTTTGCGCTGTCACAACTCTATAGGCGTCGGATAGAATCCCCGATAACGGGACAGATCCGGATTGTTCAATGGCTGCCGTGCGATGGGTCATCTGATATAAACTATATGTGTCACAGATTGGAAAAGTATTACTAGTTTTTACCTGCGAATACGTCTGCGTGACATATATATTATATATACATATTCATTTATTCCATAACAATCATACAATTATATTTGAAATAAGTAACAATATTATATAAGAAAAAATAGTGAAATAAGCTAAATAAGCTACAAGTAAAATTAGAAAAATTTGATTAACTTATAGACAATAATAATGAAATTAAATTACTTGTCAAATACATAATTGTTTAATTCGTCCAAAGTGTGAAAACATCCTTTCAACAAAATAGTTCCATGATTAATTTTAAAAGTAATGAAATTATTGGTGCTTTTCATATCAGTGGGTAACTTGTTTTTACACTTTAATGGAGTGTTACAAAGCACAATGTTTTGCAACTCGGAGTCTAGGATAAAACGTAATTATCACATATTTTCTTTTTGTTTTAATCTGATCTGTCTTTCCTTTCCATGTTCGCATTGATATGTTGGTTATCTGGGGTAACAAATAGTGTATCTCCTTCTCTATTTAATTATTTTAAGATATTCTGTACCAGTTATTTTAAGACATTAGTCGATTAACATTTTAATTTAAGATTTTTTTTTATATGGTAACAACTATTTATATTCAGCCAAGTATACAGTGTCTTTTTTAATAAAGTTATATTTAACAATTTTAATTCATTCAGTATCTTATTATATATTTTTACACAAATAGCTAAACAATTTTTCTATTTTTTATTATAGCCTATCTAATATATAAAATTCTCGTGTCACGGTGTTTGTTACCAAACTCCTCCGAAACGGCTTTACCGATTTTCATGAAATTTTGTGTGCATATTCAGTAGGTCTGAGAATCGGCCAACGTCTATTTTTTATACCCCATAATGATAAATTAAAAATTAAAAAACCCTAAAAATTTTTTTTTATTGTTTTGACAATTTTTTTTTATTTTTATTTAAATATGATTTAGCATTGAAAAATACATAATACAAATAACTTTAAATTTTCATCGTTTTACGATCAACCCCTGTATTTTAATCGCGATTTTTATATTTCGCAATAAGTGGTAAAACTACGTTCACGGGGTCAGCTAGTAAATTTATAATATTTAATATAGCAGACAGATAAAATAAAGAGCGATGGTGATGGTGGTGATACTTACGAGTCCAAATCAATAAGGTCCCGGTCAATCTCAGCGGTGTTGCACCACACGACTGATCCAAGGCAGCCCGCGATCATAAGCGTCAGCAGGAAGCACTTCCAGTTACCCTCGCGCCTCAGCACACCGCCTAGGCTTTGCTGCCTGGGCCGCTGTAACAAAAGAAGAAATAGTTTAATAAAAAAAATTAAAAAAGTTTGTATGCTGGTTTTTTGTGTACGATCTCGTGTCAAGATGTTTGTTCATGCTAAGCTCCGAAACCATTCAATCGATTTTGAAAATATCTATCCTTAGATACAACTGAGTAGATATGATTGACCCGGTATATTAACCCCGACTGTATCATCGGTATACATTGCCGGAGTACCACTGAAGGATGATAGATGAAGATGGAGCAGGTCAGTTGGTCCTTCGAGACGAATTCCACAATAAATCAACCACAATGGTTTCTAATGGGAATTGCAAGGAGTCTCACCTAATAGGATATATTGTTATCAATAGGCGGTAGGGCACAAAACAACGCTTATTTTTATTTTTTTTTTATACCACTGAGGTGACAAACAAGTATACGGCCCACCTGATGAAAAGTGGTAACCGTCGCCTATAGACATGAGCAGTATACTGTTTCGCCCATGATACTCCCCATGCGTTGCCATTCCTAAAGACTCAGGTGCTATTCCTCTGTATCTAGTAAATTCACGCCATATCCCACCCTTCAAACCGAAACACAGCCATGCAAACACAACTGCTACACGGTTGAAACACGAAAGGGAGAGAGGTACCCAAGCAATCGACTTTTGTACAAAGTCTCCCTCTGATATCTATATACGGCGAAAAATTTCCATCCATTTCACTGGCTTGTCGGCTCTGAATATCAATTGCCGTAATCGTAACCCTGAAAAAAATGATGGAGATAAATTACAGTCATTATGTTTTTTATAGAGCATTTTATACGCATTAAACATAGCCGGCGAATTTTCCTTGTTTCCCGAAGTAAATAGCGGAGTTGAGATTCCGTGTTTCGTAACACAATAGAATACTGCAAATACATATACTTTAGAAAAGTTAATCCAAATAGTAACTCAAAATACTTCATTTACATGTATCTCGTGTAACACAAAAGTAACCAAACAAACTTCTTTGCACAAACCAATCTTTTCTAACTGTACACAGAAGAAAAACAGATGCCGTTTTCTGTATTATATTATTTCATGTGTCTTCAATGTCTATCAATTTCCTTAAGAAAAGATTAACATCAAATTATCTTTCCAATTTCACTTGAATACTTTACTACTATTAATGATTACAAGACTGTTATCAATGTGTTCTCTTTTATTAGATATGTATATTTTGTATTTAACATCTATATATTCTTATTTATGTAGGTTTATATATATATATATATATATATATATATATATATATATATATATATATATATATATATATATATATATATATATATATATATATATATATATATATATATATATATATATATATATATATATATATGTTTTTATTAAAAAAAATATGTGGAGATATCTATATTTCATTTTTTATTGGACGAACATTAAACGTATCAGTAAGGGATGGCAGGTGTGAATGAAGTCTGGTCAGTTTTTTATGCTACTGTGGTGGCAAACAAGCGTACGACCCTTCTGATGATAAACGGGGTTACCGCAGCCTAATAACGCTTGTAACACCATGGATATCCTGGCCCTACTAATTAATACGCCCTTTTTGTTTGACAAAAACACACTCTGAAAAACTAGCTCTAGATCTCTGTATAGAAATAAAATCCCAATGGTGAGTTCACACAGTAAAAACAATACCAATAGTTTTATCTACAATAGGTGTAATCCCGAAAACCTTACACACAAGTCTCCATACATTATGTATACAACCCTCCACATATATACTCCTCCTTAAAGCAACAGTTTTAAATACATGTCGCCTGGTCTGTATGTATGTTCCTATCATTGAACTGACATTCCAAAAACACTTGGCCTTGGCCCGTGTCTAAAACTACCTCTAAATGAGAGATATAACAAATTAAATAAAAACAAAAAATAATAGCTATGTACATGAAAGTTTAACACTTCATAATATTATAAACATGAAAGTGTGTGTGTGTGTTTGTTTGTTTATTTGTCTAATTACGAGTAAGAGGACATATAGATAAAAACTAATGAATATATTAATAATAATATAAATGTGAAATTTTTTTTTGTTTCTTACATGTCTTGACGCTTTTATTTATGTAAACTTTATTGACCAATATATATATTGTTTGAATCGTAGCATTTGGCGTTCCATTGTTTCTGTCTACCCTAATGGGAGACAGGCGTGACAAATATGTATGTATGTATATATGTATGTATGTATGTATGTATGTATGTATGTATGACCAATAAAATGTGGTATAAAAGTGGACTTAATGCTATAGGCATTCACTACCAATCGACCTTTAGAATGTGCATAGATTCTCGATGGCGATATAAAACAATAAAATTATTGATATTTTAGTATAAGATGGTAATTACATATATACAAACATTTATAAAATAAACATACATATTAATATAATATTTATACAATATATACCCACATATAAAAATATACACATATTCATTAGATGAACTACTGCTTACTTGATTACTTTGTTTTGATTTTGAGAATTCAATAGGTGAGACTAAACACTCTTCTTAGTTTATCATGAAGTACATACATATATGTACGTAGTACTTAAGACGGTGAAGCTCGTAAGCTTTTACCCAGATCATGCAGACGAAGTCGCAAGTAAAAACTAGTAAATAAATAAATACTAAAAACACCGCGGTCAAATCAGCACAGCGTATTTTCTCAATAAATATTTTAGTATAAATATTTATCAGGGAGGATTTGAAGATGAATAGGATCAAGTATAATAAGCTAGTGATGGAACCCAAGCGGTGTTTGTATTGGGTCCTACGGGATAACCCTTCTGAAGCAATTGTGAAGAAATGTCTTTTATTTGCATCCACCTAATAACCCGTCGGGCCCTCGGGATCTTCGAGTATGTTTACAGTTACGATGTGGAACAAGGTTTTCTATTTGGCGTCTGAAATAGAATTTTCGGTTGTACGCATACGCCTGGTAATATCGACGTAATTCGAAATTCAAAAAATGTATTTTAGTGAAATATATATTTAAAAATAAAAGAGTAGATTTAACTATATAATTAAGAAAGAACACTTTTTCTTTTCAATTGTCTTCAAAATGAACAAGGTTCTCAAATCGCTTGTATTTTTTTTATGTTTGTTACCTCATATACTCTGTTAGTTTTAAACCGGTTTGGAATTTTTTTTTTTTTATCTAAAAGGATATATTTACAGATTGGTCCCATAGAAGTTTTATTTAAATTAGTTCAGTAATTTAATTTTTGAATCGAAATAACAAGGGTTTTGTTACAATTGGTGTCAGTTTTTTTTTTTTTTTTATGGAACACAATCTTTAATAATTAATAGGTATTTTTACAAAAAATCATTCTGAAGCTATTTTAAGTTAGTGATTTATTTAATACAATTCTGAACCGATTTTGACTATTCTTTTTGCAATCGATAGCGATTCACGCACCTTTTGCGCCACTAGGCTCCGAACAATCTAATAATTTGCCTGAAAATACCTCGTATAGAGGTGAAACACGTGTCGCAAAAGGTGCGTGAACAAAATGGCAGTCATAGATTGATGGCTAATATGGAAGGTTGTGGAACTTCTGGTAGTAAACCTTCGGGTGTTGGCAATCACCCACAACATCACATTCATAATGGTAGCAGAATTAAATAAAATAATTCTAATCAAATAACCAACTTTGAGATAGATTGATATTTTTTAAGGGTATGGAATTAAGTTACTACCATACAGGTTAAACTATAATTAACGCGGTCATGAACTCGTGTTTTGATAGGTGATAATGGTATGGTAACCCCGCCTGCGCTAACGGGATACGCTGGCGGTGCACCAGTGAAGGATGATAGATGAGAATGAAAACAGGCCAGTTAGCCCATCATGATGAATTCATCAGGAATTAACCATGATAGTTTCCAGGGAGAGTCGCGAGGAGGTCGACCTGGTTGGATATATTGCTAGCAACGGGCTTCTCAGTCTCCATTACTAACAATCCCTTTCCTCCATGAACTCGTGTTAGATGGGTGGCTGTTACTGCATGCTGTATACGGGAGTTTTGCAGTTAACGCAAAGCGTACAGTCGAGAAAATGTCTCTGACTATTCTGTTTGAGATCACAGTCATATGGAGTTTTGTTTTATTCTCCCTTAATGTCAAATACTAGGAACTAATCCTAATAAAAAAATCCATAAATTGTCGGAAACAGCAGAATAGGGTAAAATGCGTTTTCCAAGGCACTTTCTTCCACGCACAACCACTCTTTGGAATTAACTTCCAGCAGCAGCATTTCGGAACCTAATACATCATAACCATCAAGAGCATATTCTTTTTAAAAGGCCAGCAGCATAGCTGCATTGTCTTAAGCGAGCCGCATGCTCGTTTGCAACCTGTTTTATAAAAAATATTATTGAAGAGGGTTTTTGTTTGCGTCACTGCTGCTCTGCAGATTGCGGGCCAGCCCCAATTGCGTTCTGGCCATGTTAACGAGTAGGCTGGATTCTCTCTACATGAATCATTTGTATTGCGTTGCATGTCGAAAGAACCCCTCTATAATAATTAATGGATATAATTAGTAAAACATAAGAAGTGGGTTTTGGTAACCTTAATAAAGAATTATTTATTTATTATATTTATTTATTTTGTTATTCCTAATATCGCCGACGTTTGTATTGTAAAAATTAATTAATTCTATTTTATTATTTATGAATAGTTAAAGTGTATACATTATTTATCATAGAATATCAGTATTTTGCTCTTTTGAGGGGCAAGCAATAAACTGAGTTGTGACCATTTTTGTGGTAATATGGCACACGTATGAAAGAAAAAAATATTCTTTTACTTCTACACTACGCTGCTTTACTTGCGTGAATCAGTATATAAATATATATATTCTATGTCCTATGTTAAGGTATAACCTACCCGTTTGCTAAATTTCATTCAAATCCGTTTAGTGGTTTTTACGTAAAAGAATAACAGACATTCAT